CCCTAACCCTAACGCCAAAAAGGGGCTTCAACGACCGACGGCTACCGTACCCGTAGCCACTGCGAAGGAATAAACGTCCAGGGGCCTGTTGTCAGAAGACACCAATTTCTCCTAGACCGTCAACATCACTTTGTTTCATATTGTTATAAGGAAATCTGCTATGGTTTTTCATTCTCGTAACTTTGCAGCGTTTCTGTCAACGGTCTAAGAGAAAAAGTTAATGTTAAGACTAATGTTAAGACCCATATTGTTTCTGACAATGGGTCCATGGGCTATAGATAGCCATGGGGTGTGACCTAGCTTGGGTAAAGCCAGGTAGTTAGCCTTTTAGCCGAATGGCACTGAGGGTGGTCACAGCCAGAGTTTTTTTTTGCACCCTCAGTGGTTCTTTTACATCCCCATTGGCCTTAGTATTACTGGAGACGGGACCGCCATTTTACGTAGTCATCCGAGCCACGGGAGATTCACAGTCTCCAATGTTGAGAGCCAGGTTTTTACATCTTGAGAAAATTTACTTCCCCGGCCGGGGTACAATGATGTCCGCTCCACAGTCCAAAGGCTTACATCAACAATGGAACGAGACAAAGTCGATTGAGTAGACAGATCAACTTTGCGTCCAAGCTCATTCGTCTAATATAGTGTTTCCCCGGCATTGACACGAGCGAGGCGGCCTGCCTCGCTCAAATCCTCAGCCGCCACACAGAAATTTGTCCAAAACACCGCCTCGCTGACGAAAATCACTGTGCTTCCATAGAATACTGCTTAGAATGCACCAAATTGCACCTTTTTTTTATTGGACTCCCCTAGTTGGGCGAGCACCTGAAGTGCTCGCTTTGCTAGGACCTCGAAACGCGCAAACACACCAAACATAAATTTACCACCTCACAGACGTTTTTGGCCAGCAGGAGAAACACTGTAATTAGTTGACTAATTAATTTATATATGTTAATTGCGATGCTGTACGGCCTGCGACCTGCACCGCCTAAAGCACCAACCAGAGAATATCCCCGAGCACGATGAAAGAATCCTAGTTTGGAACCCCCGGCCCTCATTTTCGCAAAACGTGCTAAACTAATCCGGGATGCTAAACTAGGGTAGCACCCACGAGCGCGGGTTGTAGTAACTGTATATGCCAGGTTTATTTACGAATTTATACAATTATTTATTATGCGTCAACGAAGGCGACAATGCGAGGTTGCGCGCGAAAGCGGTGATTGGTCGAGCCGTGCGCCGCCATATTGGATCACTTTTGAACCAGCAATCAGGGCCAGCAATCCACGATCCGGATCAGAGATCTGCTCAAACAAATGCATGGGTTCAGTGGATCTGTGCGATCTTTATACCATGTGATTCACTGAAATGCACCTATAATTGAGGGGGTTTTGACCCTGCTCTCTCTCTCTCTCTCTTTCTCTCTCTCTCTCTCTCTCTCTTTCTCTCTCTCTCTCTCTCTC